AAAAAAAAAAAATTCCTGTAGATAAGCAGTGCTTTCTGTTTGTCAAGGCTTTGTGTTAGATACTGTAGAGTCGTGCTTCTCAAAATGTATATAAATACAAACCACTTCAAGAATCTTGTTAAAATGCAGATTCTATTCAGTAGTTTTAGGGTGAGACACAAAAGTCTGCATTTCTATAATGTATTTTAAAACATAATCCAATTATATGCTATCTACAAGAGAGTCACTTTAGATCTAAAAATGCACAGATTGAAAGTAAAATTATGGAAGGAGACATTCCATACAAATAGTAACCAAAGGAGAGCTCAGATCGTTATAGTAACATCGGACCAATCAGACCTCAAGTCAAAAACTTTTACAAGAGACAATGAAGAACGTTATATACTGATAAAACAGTAAATTCACCAAGAAGATATTAAAAACTATAAATGTATACTTGTATGCACAAGACATTACAGCTACTAAATAAATATTGACAAAATTGAAAGGAGAAATAGAAATTTCTATAATAATAGCTAAAGACTTCAATATTCCACTTCTAATAATGAATAGAACAATCAGACAGAATATCAATAAGGCACTAGGACTCGAGCAATACTATAGATCAACTGTACCTAACAAACATATACAGAACTCTACACCCAGCAACAGCAGAATACACATTTCTCTCAAGTTCACATGAAATATTCTTCAAGATAAACTATATGGTAGGCCACAAAACAAGTCTTAATAAACTTTGAAGATTGAAATAATACAAAGTAATTTTTATAATCACAATAGAATAAAACTAGAAATCATTAACAAAAGAAAAACGGGCAAATTCAAATATGTGGCATATTCCTGTAGTCCCAGCTACTCAGGAGGCTGAGGTAGGAGGATCACTTGAGCCCAGGAGTTTGAGGTCGCTGTGAGCTAGGCTGACGCTACGGCACTCTAGCCCAGGCAATAGAGCAAGACTCTGTCTCAAAAAAAAAAAAAAAACTGGGTATCTACATCCAAAAGAATGAAGTTGAACCTTTACCTTACACCATACAAAAAGTAACTCAAAATAAGTCAAAGACCTACTCAAAAGTAGGAAAATAATCAAACTCTTAGAAAAACACATAGGAGGAAAGCTTCATGACATTGGATTTGGCAATGATTTCTTGGATTTGACACCAAAAGCACAGGCAACAAAAGAAAAAGTAGATAATTTTTTCCCTCAAAATTAAAAACTTTTGTGCATCTAAGGACACTGTCAAGAGAGTGAAAAGACAAGCCACAAAATGAAAGAAAATATTTGCAAATCATATTTTTGATAAGAGATTAATATCCAAACTATATAAAGAACTACAACTCACTACAAAAAAAAATTCTTTTAAATGGGCAATGGATTTAAATGGACATTTCTTCAAACAAGATATATGAATGGCCAGTAAGCACATGAAAGATGCTCATCATGACTAGTTATTAAGGAAATGCAAATCATAACTGCAATGAGATACCATTTCACACTCAATAGGATTTCTATTATCAATTAACCAGAAAATAGTAAGTGTTAGCACGAATTGAAAACCTTGTACACTGCTGGTGGGAATGGAAAATAGTGTAGCTGCTGTGAAAAATAGTATGGAGATTCTTCAAAAAGTTAAACATAGGGGCCAGGTGTGGTGGCTCACAGCTATAATCCTAGCACTTTTGGAGGCCAAGGATCACTTGAGTCTAGGAGTTCAAGACCAGCCTGGGCAATAGTGAGACCTAGTCTCTAAAAAAAAATTTTTTTTAAATCATCCAGGTGTGGTGGAACACACCTGTAGTCCCAGCTGGGAGGCTGAGACAGGAGGATCACTTGAGCCCAGGAGCCTGAAGTTGCAGTGAGCTGTGATGATGCCACTGCACTCTAGCCCCCGCAACAGAGCAAGACCCTGTCTCAAAAAAAGGAAAAAAAAAGTGAAACATAGAATAATCACATGATCCAGAGATTCTACTTCTAGATATATACACAAAAGAATTGAAAGGAGGAGTTACTCAAACAATGATTGTATGCCAATGTTCACAGCAGCATTATTCACAATAGCCAAAAGGTGGAAACAATGCATGTCCACTAACAGATGAATGAACAAACGAAATGTGATACATAATACACTAAAATAGTATTCAGCCTTAAAAAGGAATAAAATTCTGATAAACAGATGAACCTTGAAAACATTATGCTAAATGAAATAAGCCAGACATAAAAGGACAAATATTATATGATTCCACTTACATGAGATGCCTCCTATAGTCAAATTCATGGGGACAGAAAGTAAAACAGAGGTTACCAGGGACTGGGGGGAGAAGGGAATGGAGTTATTGTTTAATGGGTACGGAGTTTCAATTTGAGATTTAAAAAAAAGTTCTGGAGATAGAGGTGATGGCTGCATACATTGTGTGTTTAATGCCTTTGAATTGTACACTTAAAATGGTTAAAATGTTAAATCGTGTTCTGTATATTTTGACACAAGTAAAAGACTTTTTTTTTTTTTTTTTGAGACAGAGTCTGGCTCTGTTGCCTGGGCTAGATTGCTGTGGCATCAGCCTAGCTCACAGCAACCTCAAACTCCTGGGCTCAAGCGATCCTCCTGCCTCAGCCTCCCGAGTAGCTGGGACTACAGGCATGCGCCAACATGCCCAGCTAATTTTTTCTCTATATATTTTTTTTTTTAGTTGTCCAGATCATTTCTTTCTATTTTTAGTAGAGACGGGGTCTCGCTCTTGTTCAGGCTGGTCTCCAACTCCTGACCTTGAGCGATCCACCCGCCTCGGCCTCCCAGAGTGCTAGGATTACAGGCATGAGCCACCGTGCCCGGCCAAGTAAAAGACTTTTTAAAAAATTCTGCAATTTTAGTCATGTCCCAGGTGATGCCAATGCTGTTGATCTTGGGACCATGCTGAGTGGTGAGATACAGTATAGAGAAAAAAGATGGGAGTTCCTCAGGAAAAGGGAACATAACTTTTGATTCCTACAAACTCGTAGCTGGTACATTATATAAGCTCGATACCTTTTTCAATTAATTCATGAAGGAATAAACAAAGAAATACAATCTAACAGGATAACTAGGATTTGTGATATAAGGCAGAATGCATAACGTATGAACATAATGTAGATACGAGCAAAAGGAAATCAGAAGGAGGTGATTATCTTCAGGGAGCAATAATGATGTAATGAAATCAATGCTTTGCATAAAGTATTACTGAATAAACATGTCTTGTGTAAATATGCTGTTGACTTATTCAAGACATTTATTTTACCTATAATAATTATTAATTCAGCTAACTAAACAATAGAAAACTGGGTATGTAGATACAGATCTTTAAAAAATAAAAGCATTTATTTGGCTCAGTGCATTTTCTTTGCTCATCTTGTTGCTCAATGCAGTGTAACATGAAGAACGCACTGTTCTTTAACTGAAAATTCACCAGGGTTGTAATCAGATATTACGAAGCGATCAGAAAATAAGCTTGGTGAACACAGTTATGAAAGTGCAGTTAGTTATTTGTTAAGGAGAGAATGTTCACATGATTTTGGTATAAATGTACAGATCATGCACTAAGGTAAGCCTTAATTCTTTTGATTTCTTTTTATAAATGGATGAGTTTTATTATATAATTGTTAATATCTACAAAACACAGATGGTTGATAATTGTCAATCATCTTATTTTCTATTGTGTTACTTTTCTTACATATATGTCAAATCACTAGAGATAATGTAAAGTCAGGATAGCAGTTATAATTATCTCCTATACAAAGTATTACCATTGACTTCTGGAAAGGAAAAACAAGCCAATGGATGACTGTATTTATATTGTCCCTTTTTTCTTGGTGCTAAAAGTATTTCTGACCCATTGGGACTCATTCCTTCATGGAGAATCTTACTATTTGAAAGTTTATTAGCTTAGGTACTATTTAAACTAACTAGCGATTCAACTCTAGAGTTTAAAGCTGTATCTTTATAATCATCTCAGTATTGGATAATATGTTATATAGCCTAATAAATAAGATTGAGTCACAAACATCTATACATCAGTAATAAAATGATAGTTTATGAACATAATTGTGATCTTAAGACAAGCTAAGATTCTGAAATGTCATCCAAAGAAAGAATACATTATGCTTAATACAGTTTTCATGATGAGTGGGTTTTCAAAATATTCTAGCTCTTTGTAACTAGAATATGTGTTTCCTGAATATGTGGCATATGGTGAAAGTTGGAAGCTCCAACTTGCTTATATTTGGTGAACTAGAACAACCCCTATTCCTTCAAATTGCTAGCTGACAAAAACTACTGCATCTGGTTTTCAACAGATAAAACAGCATGAGGTAGTTTACAGATTTTCAACAGTTACAATCAAATCAGTGGCAGAGTAGGAATAAAATCCAGTATCCTGACAAACCCTGCATATTCCGTGGAATCCGGCTTTCCTTCCTTTATTACAATTCTAAAATTTTCATTAGCTCCAAATCTAATCCCAGAGTGAAGTGAAAAAGTTATATATTCCAGGACAAAATTTAAATAGATGAACAGCCTAACCAGAAACTTCAGTTGGAGTGCCAGGCTGGGCAGGGTGAAATCCTGATCAACTTGCTTTTACAGAAGCTATTAGGGATATAAAGAATGCTGTGTATCAACTAAGTGATAAAAGTTGTAGTCATGACATATTTGTTAATATTTTATTTCAGAAAAATTAAATTGTAAATAAGATGGCAAATTCTGAAAGAGCTGAAGAAATGCAAGAAAATTATTGGAGAAATGGGTAAGCTTTCCTTAAATTCTACAAAAAGTATTAATATTCTTCTGCAACTTCAAATATACCTTATCCTTTTCACAGCCGTAGCAAAAATGTTTATAATTTTTTTCCAAAAATAACAATGCTGTTTGCATTTTGCTGGACTTCAACATAATCAGTGTCACAACTGGTTTAATAGTGATTTTAGGAAGTGAAATAGCCACAGGATTTATTAAATCAGTGCTCCAGTTATCTCCTCTTCTGAATTTCTTGTAGCTTACTAGTGTAGGAAGGAAAGATGCCTGAAGTTTTTATTTCAATTCTTGGCCAGTAGTGGTGGCTCAAGCCTGTAATACTAGCACTTTGGGACACCGAGGTGGGAGGATGGCTTGAGACCAAGAGTTTGAGACCAGCCTGGGCAGCATAGCAAGACCCCATCTCTACAAAAAAATAGAAAAATTAGCCAGGCGTGATGCTGCGTGCCTATAGTCTTAGATATTAGGGAAGCTGAGGCAAGAGGATTGGTTAAGCCTAGAAAATTGAGGCTGCAGTGAGCTGTAATCATGCAACTGCACTCCAGCCTGGGTGACAGAGCAAGAGTCTATCTCAAAAAAAAAAAAAAAAAAAAGGCCTGGCCCAGTGGCTCACGCCTGTAATCCTAGCACTCTGGGAGGCCGAGGCGGGAGGATGGCTTGAGTTCAGGAGTTCAAGACTAGCCTGAGCAAGAGGGAGAGCCTGTCTCTACTAAAAATAGAAAGAAATTAGCCAAACAACTAAAAATAGAAAAAATTAGCCGGGCATGGTGATGCATGCCTGTAGTCCCAGCTACTCGGGAGGCTGAGGCAGGAGGATCACTTGAGCCCAGGAGTTTGAGGTTGCTGTGAGCTAGGCTGATGCCACAGCACTCTAGCCCAGGAAGAGAGTGGGACTCTGGCTCAAAAATAAAAATAAAAATAAAAAATCTCTATACATCCTTCATTCCATGTGGTACATTTAATAAAAGAAAATATTGGATTCTGGTTATTTTTCACTGAATAGATGTCTGTGTGCATATGTATGCTACACAGTTTGCTATACCTATAATTCATTAATTTAGAGATTTTAAAATGGAAATAGTTTTAAATCTATTTTATTTCCACTTTTACCATAATAATCACGTTACATTTGGATATACAATCTATAAAACTGGGGAGAATCCTCCGAGGTCACACGGTTCATTAATGCAGAAAATAGTCGGAAAGGAACTCCCTCCATACCGTTTTCTTACGGGTCGGAATGCCTACATCAGAAACTTCTTGAAGCTGAAGAAAATTCGTTTGGGGAATATTTTGAAAATTGAAAGAGTAGCATACCAAACCCCATACCTCTTTTATGCTGTTTTTCTCTTATTATTATTATTTTCCCGAAGTAAATTTTCCCCCTTTCTAAGCACCATTTCCTCATAAATTCAAAACAGATTCTCTAAACTCTGTACCCTAGCATGCTGATGTGAGAGAGTGATGAGAGAACAGATTTATTAATATTTTAGAATACACTGTGCATTTAAGCATTACCTGTGGACTGAGTAAATGACGTCTCCAGCACGTGTTTCACAGGAGGCATTGTAACTTGGTGGTTGAGAGTTCCAGCCCTGGGAGTCACATTGAAGTTCAAATAACTAGCTCTGTGAACTTGGATTGTTTGCTCTGTGATTCAGCTTCCTTATCTTTAATGTGGTCATGATAATAATACCACAGACTTAATAAGGTTTCTTGAGATATGGTGGTGGACCACAGAAGCTAACAGGTCAGCAGAAACACAATAGCAGACTGTGACATCTGTATTCTACTAACAGAAAATTAGAATGGGGAGGTGGTTAATTTTGCTAGTTTCTATGAAGAATTGAGAACATACATTAATAATTTCATTTGGATGACTAAGGCCAGGAGAGGATGGGAGAAAACAATATGAAAGAAAAAAGCTACAAGGATTGATGGTAAGGGTTGGATGAGCCCTGAAAAGTGAAATCAGTGGGTCACAGATGTGGAATCTGGTCTCGAAATAACGGGCAGGATTCCGATTAGGTGGAGGTGACTGATTTGAAGCTGGGAGCAGAATTATGTTGCTGCTTTGGGCCACGCTGATTTGCATTAATGAAATGGAAGTACTGGAGCATAGATAGCTAACATCCTCTCCAGCATGCAAACCAGCACAGATCACACTAGGATTGGGAGCCAGCGTGGCCCGTGGCCTGCGGCCGGCCTGCACTATGTGGAATCAGTTTCCCCTGGGAGCCTCAGGCTCCACCCACGCCCCCCTCTCCCCATTGCCAGGCAACACTTGGGGGACGGCGCCCAGGAACTTTGCTGAGGGAGGAGACCCTCAAACGCCCACTTGCCCACGTGTTGCTCTCCTCTCTGAAAACAACCCAAGCCCTCCCTGGAAAGCTTTCCATGAAGTTAGAAACGTTTTCCCTGAAATAAAGCTAACCATGAGAAGAGAGCTTACTGGGTCTTAAGTTTTACGATCTGCACTGGGTTGTGGGACTTTACAATCTTAAAGCATTTTTTTGTCATCTATGCTTTATCCCAGAGTAATTTGGCCCGAACATAAGTCAATTATTAACTGTAGGTGGAAGATATTTAAGTGACTTGCCATTTATCAAAGCTGACAGGACAATATGTTATAAAGCTTAAGGGAACAATCGGAAGTTTGTCCTCCTGTGAGGTCTTCATAGAAAACGTAATGTTTCCCTCCACTCTTAGTTTAATATTGCAGACTCTTGGCGGGGGCAGGGGGGGGGGGTTGTGTGTGTGTTTAACTGCCAGATTATCTGTGAAATCAATGGATAAAATTTAAAACTTTCATTTGGACCTCCTTAAAATGTGAACATACCAAGCTAAAAAATGAAATTTTCAAATGGAGGACAAAATTCAAAGTAACCTGTTTAATGTGTACTTAATAGAATTAATTTCATTTAAAGCTCATAGTTGCTCTTGAGGGTTTTGTTACAAAAGTTTAAACATTGTAATCCACCACTTCATACCCATTAGGATAGCTACTACTGAACAAGGAAAAAAAAGACAGAAAAAGAAAAGAGTAAGTGTTGGTGAGGATATAGAGAAATTAAAATCCTTGTGCACTGTTGATGAGAATGTAAAATGGTGCAGCTGCTGTGGAAAATACTATGGCGGTTCCTCAAAATATTAAAAATAGAATTAATATATGAGCCAGCAATTCTCCATCTCGGTATACACCCAAAAGAATTGAAAGCAGGGAGTCAAAGAGATATTTGTGGCCAAGTGCCTGTAATCCTAGCACTCTGAGAGGCTTAGGCAGGAGGATCACTTGAGGCCAGGAGTTCAAGACCAGCAACATAATGAGAGCCCTTCTTTACAAAAAAATAGAAAAATTAGCTTGTCGGGCATGGTGGCGCATGCCTGTAGTCCCAGCTACTCGGGAGGCTGACTCAGGAGGATTGTTGGAGTCCAGGAGTTTAAGGTTGCAGTGAGCTATGATGATGCCACTGCACTCTAGCCCGGGTGACAGAGAGAGACACTGTCTCAAAAAAAAAAAAAAAAAAGAGGATATTTGTTCACTCATATTCAGTGCAGCATAATTAGCAACAGCCAAAATGTGGAAGCAATTTAAGTTTCCAACAAAATGTGGCATATACATTCAAAGGAATAGTATTCAGCCTTAGAAAGGAAAAAATCTCTGAGACATGCTACAGCATGGATGATACTTGAAGACATTATGCTAAGTGCATCAATTCAAAGATGAACCTTGAAGACGGTAAGCCAGTCACAAAAGGACAAACACTGTGTGATTCTATTCATTTGAGGTACCTGGAGTAGTCAGATTCATAAAGACAGAAAGTAGAATGGGGTGGTGGGGGGAGGGCTGGAGGAGGGGACAATGGAGAGTTGAGTGCAGTGGGTCCGGAGTTTCAGTTTTGCTAGGTGAAAAGAGTTCTGTGGCTAAATGGTGGTAATGGTAGCACAACAATGTGAAAGTACTTAGTGCCTTGATTGCCTTGACTAAAAATGCTTAAGAAGGTAACGTCTATGTTATGTCTATTTTACCACAAGTTTTAAAAATTCTACTCCAGATGCATGTCATCAGTTGCTACCCTAACACACTTAAAGACATCCAGTGACAATTGTCTTTCATTAAATTTCTTTTAAAAGTTTCAGTGTTGGTATAAATTTGCTACCAAGGATGATATCTGACACTTCAAGAAAATGTTAATGGAAAATTTTGCATTTCACATTGTAATTTTTGCATTTTAAACATTTCTTTTCCAGTACGCTACAAGAACAACTGCCTAAAGTGAGAAAGCAAGCTGTCGGATCTATCGAGATAGTAAGTGAAATCATTGGAAAGTGTATGTGTCAGAGAATTTTAGAGAATTGTCAGGGGTGCATAGAATGGATTATGTTCTTTTGATCGTTTACATGCATTATTCGAGGAAAAGGAGAATTAAAAGAAAAATTCATCACGGTGTCATTTCCAACAGGAAAAAATAAATAAAGCAACCCAAAAGTTTCACAATAAGGTATAAGAAAAAATAGCACAACATCCACACAATGATCTCAATTTAAAAAAAAAGTAGAGAAGTGTGTGTGTGTGTGTGTGTGTGTGTGTTCCTGTGTGAGTATCATGCATAAATGTTACCAGATGTTATTTTAAATGGTGAGGAATTGTGAGTGACTTGTATTATGTTTACATTTTAGTATTTTCCAATTATTATACATTGATATTATTATTATAAAATTGTTATAGATCTTTTTTAAATAAAAAATAATTATCTAAATATGTTGTAAAGCCTATGTGTCAGAAAATATGTCGGCACGCTTCTTTGGAATTATGTTTAAGGAACATTTTCATATGCGTTCCCAGACATCCCCTTCACTAACTCTAATCTCTATGTCAGCCTCACTGTCAATGTCGTGCCATTCGAAATGCAGATGAAACAGGACTTGTTTTTTTCAAAAGTATATTCAAAAAATAAACAAACCGAGAAGTAGCATCCTTTATTCTGAAAGAGAGTGGAGGAGCAGATACCCACTTATCATCTGTAATGCCAAATACAATGTGATGGAAAATGCTCTATAAATATTTATTAGCTATTACATGGATGAATGGAAAAACATGAAATTTTTTTAGTCTCCACTCACAAAATATGTACTAAGTTCCTCTTGCTGTTATTCAAATCTAATTACATTTCAATATCATTATTCATTTCATCTTGCCCTTTCTCAGTAAGGTAAATAATCCACGTTTTCAAGTTTTGCTATGGTTTGGTTTTGGAATGGTGCTGTGCGGACCTGCTACAGAATAGAATATAAAGTATTCAGTATTTGTCATTCAGGTATTTCTTTCTTATTCCAAATAGCCCTTAAAATTATTATAAACACTTATTTACAGGAGAGACTTGTCCTGGGTAGAAAAAAAATAAGAATCAAAAATATAATTCCTTACATCTTTACTGATTAGTTACTGTTCACAGCACTTAGCTGTGACATTGCTACATTGATGATGAGCCTAAGGAATCAAAAGTTTGCACATCAGCTTTCCATAACCTAAGATGTTGCTGTAGTCTTTCAGAATAACTTATTCCAAAGTCAACCAAATGAAGGATTCACACCCACAGCTGATCGAACTTGTGTCATGTATCTACAATTTGTACTGAAGCCACTTTATTTTTAGACACCTTCTTCAAAGGAGATTGTAAATTCTTAACTTGGGTGTTTCATTTTGCTTTATATATAAATACATAACTATGGTTTTATACATTTATTTAGCATTTTAATCAATCTGTAAAGTAATGTTTACTTGGTGGTAAAACCTGTAGGTTGGAGTTTTGTTTGTCTGTTTTACAACTACTATATAGTGTAACCATGCTTTCTTTTTCTCAGTTCCGCTTTGCTGATGGACTGGACATCTCACTCATGATCCTGGGAATACTGGCGTCACTGGTAAATGGAGCATGTCTTCCTTTAATGTCACTGGTTTTAGGAGAAATGAGTGATAACCTTATAAGTGGATGTCCAGTCCAAACCAATACAAGTGAGTATAAGACTCTTTTTTCTGTAATGCTGGAGACTCAGAAGCATTGAATAAAACAAACAAACATTAAGCTAATAAAGCAAATTACTGTATTATAAAACAGTATCTGCATAGTATTATTTAAGTCACTGATTTGTCTATATTGCTAGGCACTAAAGAAATGTATTAGTCAGAGTTCTCCAGAGAAACAGAACCAAAAGGATGGGTGTGAGTACATACGTATATATATGTGTATACACACACACACACACACACACATATTTATGTGTAGGGGGATATTAAATAATTGGCTCCCATGATTACGGAGCTGGCAAATCCAAAATATACAGGAAGGGCCAGTAGGCTGGAGACCCAGGAGAGAGTCAACGTTGCAGTTCAAAGTCCAAAGGCCACCTGCCAGTGGTATGTAAGAATCATCTGAAGTCCACTAGGGCTCAGCTTGTCTCTCTAAGAATTCAAATAATTTTTTATCAGAAGTGGTGATTATATTGGGATTTAATCAAAGGCTTGGGCCATCCCAGGCAGTTTATCTGTAACCCATTCTTTAAAAAGAAGAAATCAAGAAATCAAGTAGGGATAAATCTTTCGGGTTACTAGCTACTTAGGCTTTTGTTTTTTGTTTTTTTTTAATAATAGTTCATAGACATGCATGGCACTCTAGAACATAATGCAGGAAGGAAGCAGGAAATTATAGTGCTAGAGACAGATACTCTGAATAAAGATTGGGGATGGGAGTGGAGGGAATCTAGCAATTAGGTGTGTGGAAAAAATGTTTTGACAGTACCCATATCTGTAGGCATCTTTCCTGTGTCCTTTGTAGCATCCTATTTCAGGGTCGCATCCCTCAGGTGACATTATTCTTTGGATGTAAATTCTAATGATTCTCTTATGCACTGATACAGTGACTATGCCATATTTTTTATCTGGTAGATATTATAAATATTAGTAATTCCCTGGTTCTATGTTTTTCCCCAAATTCCACACTAGGAATCTTTAAAGATGTTTATGATAACTGGGACAAATGACTCATTGAAACCTGGACTGTCTTTTAGATATTAGCCTAGCTTTGTACAGTGTACTTCCCTCTGTTTCCTATTTGACTTTAAATATGAATTTATATCTAATTTATATCTTCTTGTTCTCCACCTGAAGGCTAATCTTTCAAGTTTTCCAATCTCGTTTGAGTAGAATAAACTCATTTCTTCCATTTCTATGTCCTTCCATGGTCTTCTGTCAAAGCAGTTATGAATATAAACTAAATTAAGGTTATAAGTTAAATTAAAAAATTTGATATTTTAATGATTAAGCTAAACATATAAGCTAAGTTTATTGCTGTTAAACAAATAGAGCCACTACCAATTCACTGCATAAATATTTATTGATTGCCAAGCATGTCTCTGTGAATGAATGAATGAATCAATCAATCAATCAAAAACCTAGCAACCTAGAGCCATCTGCATGAGAGTATTCCTTTTGTTAAATCTATTCTATAATATAACTGATTACTTTACCTGCTTTAAATAGGATGGGCAGTATATATCTGATTGATATTGCTGTGAATACTAATTTTTGTGGTTGTTTAAGGTTGTTCCAGTTTTCTCAAGTTTCATGGTGTGTTTTATCAAATGTGGTGAACATGTAAAGAAGTTTGAGAAGAATTTAGATAAATGTATGGATACTATTGGTATACTATAACACATTATTAAAGAGAAGTAGAGATATTAAGAGGTATACCTTCAACATTCTAACATTAATTTTCTGGAGGATAATAGAGGAGGATTATTTGCTCCTACAAATAAAAATATGAATAATCATGTTCATTCATTGGTGGCCCATTTTTGTGCCAGTATTGAACTTTTGCTTATGCTATCTCTATTAATATAACCTACAAAATGAGATTATGCCATTTTTATGTGATTGTACCATTTTCAGAAATAATGTTTATTTTCCATATTAAGCTTCAGTTAAATCTCTTTAAAACTTGCTACTAGATTTTACTACCTTCACTTCTGCTATGTCAATTCTGATATTCTTAGAATAAGCTGCTTCAAAATTTTTTACTACTACAATTCCATAAATAGAATAAGAAGGAAATGATTGTTTGCATATAAACAAAGGTCATAGACATTATCATATGTGATGGTGTTATGGTTATGTGAGAGATGAAGAGTCGTGATGTCTGCAATTTATTTCAAATGTTTATTACAGAGGTTTAAGGAAAAAAACTGTGGTAGTGGATATGGACCACAGTTTTGTGTTGTTGGTAAAACAGGACATTGGTATACTAATTAATATAAGATGTATTGTTTTACTAGAAGATATATAGAAAAGTTTACAAAGAAGACACATAACCCAAAGGTTATTTTAAACAGGTTTATTATGTTGCTATCCTGGTTATACCCAACATATTTCAATGATTTTTCTTTCAGTTTTTCCCATGATTCCTTCCTCTAGAAATTTCACATGTTCTTGAGTTTATTGGACTTTCTAAATCATTTCCTGGAGTGTCTCAAACTTAATTCAAAATGCATAATCTTGGGCAGGATATGGCAATTCTATTACTACTATTAATACTTTCCCGACCGTTGCCTGATCAGAGATATCCTAAAGAATTCTTTCCAGTGATGAGCTTTGTGGTCAATGCTTCCCTGTATTTTTCCAAGTTGCATGAGTACACCTTGAGAGCAGAGATAATTATCTCAAGTTCTAAGTTAAAGAATAGAAAATAAGATGATCATAAACCTGTGTATAGGTATTAAGTACATTTTTTTAAGAATGCACTGTATTTGATTGGAAGATGAAACAGTATGGCCAGTTATGAATTAATTTCTTTTATCATTTAAATAACTTTTTTATAGCAAATTATCGGAACTGTACCCAGTCTCAAGAGAAGCTGAATGAAGATGTAATTGTGTAAGTCCAATGAAGTGTTAATATCACATTCATTGCATGCTGCTTTATTCAATGCTTATATGAAAAAACAACTGAAAAGTATGACCATTAATGTTACATGTAAGTGATTGAAGCAAATATGTCTTCTTCTTTCATTAAATATATAAAATGTAATTAGTACATATTTTTTTCTTCTATATGAAAGGTGTGTAGGTCATATGCTTTGCCTTGTATTTGACAAAATTATCATCACTAGAAAAATTGTGAGGATTTGGATTTTATAGCAATTTTGCCTCCTAAAACCAAAGATATATATCCTGATGGAAAAAGAACTTGATTTTCCTTTTTTAAAAACTTATCTGCCTTCTAAGCCTTATAAAAAATTTTATTTCTATAAACATTAAAAATCAAAAAGATACATGCAACAAATAATAAAAATAATGTTTTTAAATAAAATAATAAGATTTTACTCAGAACAATTTTTGAGACTAATTATTCGGACTATTATAGTAAAGTTTTATCCAGACTAAAAATCATAAAATCTGAATAATAAATAATTTATAAGGACACTTGTTTATAATGTGAGCACCGAAACAAGAAGGTAGAGTATTGCCTGCTGGACCTCAGCTAGAAATACATGCCTTGGGCAAGTCAAATATTTTGCCACTTGGTGCGTGTCCATGAATAACCATGAAAACGTCACGCATATTGATTTTGGACTTACAAATAAATTTTAGCAAGGAGGCAAATTTGCAAATATAGAATCCTCAAATAATGAGCATCAGTTTTATTCTTCTCTCGTGTTTTGCTTGATACTTCACTCTTCTGGCTTTCCAACTACCTCAATGGCCTCTCCTCGGCTTTCTTTGCAGGCTCTTTCTCTTGATCCCAAACTGTCCGTGTTTGCAGAGTCCCTGACTCAGTCCTTGGCCCTCTTCTCTTCTTTACCTACACTTCACTCTCCCTCTCCCTGGGTGGTCTCAGCCAGTCCCTTACTTTCAAATCTACATCTCCTGCCTACACTCCTCTCCAGTTCTTCTGATTATCAACTTCTTACTTTATCCCCACTTTGAGGTTTAATGTGCTTCTCAGACTTAGCATACCTAAATCAGAACTCTCAATGTCTCCTGCAAATCTACCTCTCTCCCAGTCTCTCACATCTGTAGTGGTACCCCCATTAGCAGCTGTACAACACAAAATCTAAGGAGTTATTCTTGATTTCTCCCATTCCTTCATTTCTCATATCCAGTACACTGGCAATTTTTTAAGGAAGAGTCTGTTAAACAAATAATTGCTTTATTAATATAAACACACACACACAAAAACTATAAAGCATTGCCTGCCAGGCATGGTGGCATGTGCCTGTAGTCCCAGCTACTTTGAAGGCTGAGGCAGGAAGAACTTGAGCCAAGGAATTTGAGTCCAACCTGGGCAACACAGCTAGATCCCATCCTTTTAAAAAGTGCTATAAAGCACTAAGAAATCTAAATGTCTATGTGATAGCAAACAGGTGGCAATCCAGGGGTGGCAGCATGCTTGAAGGAGACTGAGACAGATTAGACTCCTACAGTGGAGAGAGCATCTTCATATGCAAAGGAGGGGCCCAGCTGTAACAGATTTTCAAATTCTCTCTCCTCATCAAGGATCATGAGAGGCATTCCACTCAAGGGGAGGCGAGAAATCCGGTTCCCCAGGGAGATCGCAGCTCTCAAAATCCAGAGGATTAAACAGAAAGAATTTTTTCATTTCCTGATCTGTGTCTTCAGAGGCAGGAACAAAACGTTTTGCTTTAACAGTCTTCTCATCATGTTTGAGGCAGAGAAGGTCAGCTGTTTTTGTTTGAGGGACTCATTAGTCTGGCAATTTGTATTTCCAAAGTACATTTAGATCTATCTGCTTCTTTGCGTGTGGGCAGCCACAGTCCTCACCCAGGCCCCCATCTTTCTCACCTTGGCTATGACAATAGCTTCCTAACTGAACCTGCTTCCATAGTTGTCACTTCTATCCATTTTCCAAAAAGAAGCTGGAGTGATCTTTTTCAGAGTTGAACAGATAAAATCATCCCATGCTTAAATCTTCCAATGGTCTTCTGCTTCTCTTAGAATAAGATCTGAACAACACATTGTAGCTAAAGGCCCTAGAATATGCCAAATTCTCAGCCTCATCGTTTCATACCACTCTGGAAAGCTTTTGTTCCTGGAACACACTAAGTTGTTTGTTTTTTTTTTTTTTTGTCTCGGCTTCTCCTGGAATAGACCTCCTCTTTCTCCCTGGAATGTTCTTCCTGCTCTTTTTATGGCTGGCTCCGTTTCATGTTTTGGATCCCAGCTATAATATCAGTTCCTCAAAGACACTTTTCTTAACCCCTCTGTGTATCTGCACTAGCTCTCCCAACCCACGTTTACCTACCAGTTATTCTGTGACCTATCCACTCTGTTTACTTCCTCATAGAACAATCTGAAATTCTTTGTCTTTGTGTGTTGTGTGCTTCCTCCCACCAGAATGGGAGGACTTACTGCCTTGCTCATGCCTGCATCTCTAGAACCGCATACATGGTGGGCATCCAGTAGACGTTTACCAAATGACTACATTTCTTATCTGGTCTCCTACTGTTAGAAATTTGGATTGCTTTCAGCTTTTCTGTATTATTACAAATGCTGCAGTGACCATTTATAAAGATGACTCTTTGTACATATTACCTTAGGGTAAATTCCTTAAGTTGAATTTTGGATTTAATGGTATGTATTTTTTAAAGCTTTTTATCAACTGCTTTTGACTACTATCATTTTCTTTACCCTCCTGTCCTACAGCTATCTTAATTACCTCAATGTAACTTTTTCATATGAAAGTATCAAAAATACGAAAAGAAGACACAAATAGCAAGAATGTATTAAAATACTAATTTCTTCCAATAATATAAGAGAGACATACTCTAAATGTCTTACCGGGCAAAGCTATATTATTAATAATATATTCAATGTACTTCTCACTTTCTCATGGTGTTTTATTTTTAATTATTTTTCTAGGTTCTAGCATAGATTTTCTACATTAAATATTAGGATAGATTTCTCTTTTTTTAATTTGGTACAGATGAAAAAGTTGTACTTCAGTCTAAAGTCTAACATTCCAACAATCTTTCTTCAGGTTGGTCCTGTATTATGTTGGAATAGGAGCTGCTGCCTTGATTTTTGGCTACATGCAGATTTCCTTTTGGATGATGACTGCATCGCGACAGACCAAGAGAATTCGAAAACAGTTTTTTCACTCAATTTTGGCGCAGGACATCAGCTGGTTTGATGGTTGTGACATCGGTGAACTTAATACTCGCATGATGAAGTAAGAAGATGAATGTGTAGTACATCAACTTTGTTTTCATATATGGCATAGAAATGACTTAACTACATTTGTTTCCTTGTTTCAGTGACATCAACAAAATAAGCGATGGCATTGGAGACGGGATTGCTCTGTTGTTTCAAAACCTGTCTACTTTTTCTATTGGCCTGGTGGTTGGTTTGGTGAAGGGCTGGAAACTCACCCTGGTGACTCTGTCCACGTCTCCTCTTATAATGGCTTCGGCGGCAGCATGTTCTAGGGTAGGTGAGATGGCTAACGCAGCGTCAACGAGAGGAAGCAGTGTGCACACGATGGCTCATTGAGTTTGTCAAAAAGGCATTTCTATTTATTTTGCATGTCCCAAGATACAAAAGGATATTATAAACCACAAATACTTTTGATTTTGTTCATCATGAATCATGTTTCTTTCTTCAAGTTATTTGGCTAAAAGGAGGTTTTTAGTATCTTACTAACATTAAAAAACATTCCTCTTCAATTAGAGACCTAATGCAGCTTCAAATGGTAGCATGGATAAAGTATGAGGCCATTATCCATGGGATATTTAGTTGTTGCTGCCAGGAGATCCTTCTGTATTCTAAATTCCCAGGTAAATGTGTTGCAATTCATTTCACTGAGTAAAACAGAATAAGGAATATCCCAAAACACTAAACACTTAAAACACTTTTTTATGTCAGCTTCTTCAAGTTTGTATTTTTTATAAGGCTTTGAGTTATATTAAAAAGTCTGCTAATATCTATTTTTATGTGCTATATAGTATGTTTTTTTAAACAAATTATGTATTTGCATTCTAAGGTACATTTTTGGCAGTGTTAGGCTATGAGTATACCATAAGAAATTAATCTTATTTATGGCCTACTTTTGAAACCAATACTCCTTGGGACATCTGAACACAATCAGTATATCCCTAATATTTCTTTCCAAATCGTGTCTTTGGCAAGTTTACTGGTATGTATAACCATCTCCTAGATGTTAGGCACGGGGTTTTTAATTTTGCGACATTTGTTTTTTATAGAAATCAAATCCATAAAATTCACAGAGTTTATTTGCTAAGCAATATACAAGTTCAACCAAACACAAATTTTCAGCAATAAAAATATTCTGTGGTTGCCTAATTCTTTAACAATAGGCTTGGATAGTTAGACAACAAATCTTTATTTAGTGTGACTTCTGGTGTTGACCTTGTAATCCTTGTCAAGATCTTCATCCCTGGCTTATTTGAAATAAGGCAGGAAATCTCAGTAGGAAGACTACCCACAGCATGTTACTAAGATCAGAGCCTTAACTGCCCATGGAAGACAGGTAAACAAGGGGCTGTAAAGAAACAGCAGTGGGGAATCTAAATTCTGTTATTGTATTAACGGATCATGAAGAGGAAGCAAGTGAAAGTCACAGTCATCCAAATGATTAGCAATACCATTGTGGATGGTTTCTAGCTTCCTTCAATGCAATTTAATTTGGAAATCATTTATTAAATACTCACTAAGTACAAGGCTTTATGCCAATTGGTATTTCCCCTCCAGCGATATAGTATAGTAAGGGAATTCAGAAAATAATGAGTGTTACTCAGCTTTTGCTACTCCTGGCTTTAACAGCCCTAGAGTATGTCCTACATAAAATCAGCTCCAATTATGTGGAATGTATTTTGAAAGTGGATAGATCTGTTATGTGAGTAGACAATAGTTATAAACTCACACTCTGAAGGCAATGTCCCTGCTGTTCCCTTTCGTGGAACTGTTGTGCTAGTTACTAAACTGTAAAGGATTAGTAAGTAGGACATATAATAGAGACAAGGGCACATTCTAGTTTTAAATTTTGAGATCAGGTAAACCTGCCTATTATCATCAAGAGTGATATTCTCCCCTTTCTTGCTGAAATCTCATCTCTTAGTGTAGTTTCAAACTTACACCTCACACATAGACAGGATCATGTTCCTCTTCCTGCTACATCCCTATGACCCACACCCTCTGGAAGTCTTGCTTTGTACATAACAACAGATCAAATCAAGTCAAATCAGGCTCACTAATTTCCAGAGTGCACCCATAAAGAATGGTGTCCCTAAAATCCTTCTCCAAATCAAGTCTTTCTCATTTGTACCAATGTAGACACCCAGTTCTAAAAGAGTTTTTAAAAATACAAACAGAATATGGCAAAGCTCTACTAGTAGAAGGAAAAATAGATAGGAATTTAGATTCTAGGTAATATTAGGCTAAGCAGAATTTAGATTCTACCTAAATTAAATGCTCTGTACATTGTTACTACTCTGGAGTCATTCTTTGGTTAACTGTGGTTGTGGTTTATTGCAGATGGTCGTCTTGTTGACCAATAAGGAATTAAGTGCCTATTCCAAAGCCGGGGCTGTAGCAGAAGAAGTCTTGTCATCAATCCGAACAGTGATAGCCTTTGGGGGCCAGGAGAAAGAGCTTCAAAGGTCTGTCCCTTTAATTATGACAAAATATGCTTGGTTTTTTCCCCCCCTGCAAAATCTATTACATTGTATTTTGTCTTTGTAAGGTATACACAGAATCTCAAAGATGCAAAGGATGTTGGCATAAAAAGGGCTATAGTTTCGAAACTGTCTCTGGGTGCTGTGTACTTCTTTATGAATGGAACCTATGGACTTGCTTTTTGGTATGGGACCTCCTTGATTCTTAGCGGAGAACCTGGTTATACCATCGGGACCGTTCTTGCTGTAAGTCTTGTTTGAGAACAGAAGTAACGTGCCTAGATACACTTTTCTTATCTAGAGTTTAGTCAAGATTTCTCTTTGAATGAAGATGAAAACTCAAAGATGAATGTTTTGATAAACAAGTATTTGTTTCCCTCAAATGATGGGTATATACTTTTAAATTGTAGCTGTGAATTGACAAGTTTTATTCATCCCACATTTTAATGTCCTTATTGTGGCAAACATTGTGCTTTTAGAAGAGTCAAAATTGAATTTCTCACTGGGAGAGACATCGAGTTTTCTTAATCCAGCAGTGAAAAAGGCCAGTCTCCACTGAGACTTTTCCATTTATTCTTGCACTCTATACTCACCTTGCTAAATGTCCTCTCAGGAAATACTCTGTAGGTTGGACTCACCTGCTCTTCCTTTGTCCTTTCAGCAATACAGGAATGTTAAAATAAACTACAAACAGCTCTGTCCAACATTACAATTTGAAGACTTTTAAATTCTTAATGGTTATACAATAAATTATAATTTATTTGGTTTTCCTCCCAAGTTTCATCAATAAACAGATCATTTCAAGATAAAGAAACATTTGTCTTGGTGAACTGAAATGATCCGCTCCATATACTTCAATTCTTGTTTGGCCTTCCCATTCTATATATATATTTCTCTTCTTTCAAATAAATTCATCGTTGGAATTTGAGACTTTCATAGTTAAGACTTTTAGAAATTCATGTATTTCATGTCAAATGAAATGTGAGCATTAAGAGATTTTGGCTTGTCCCTGCTCTTCAATGTATGTGTTCCTGGGCAAATGAGCTGTTAAGCCTTAGTATCCTCATCTATATCATAGGGACAATGACGCCTAGGTTGGGGGTTCTTTCCTTTTTTGACTTTTTGCAGAGATGTCTCTGTCTGAAAATTGACAGCTGTCCAGTAATATGAAAATTCAAAAAAATTGGGTGGAAATAATACAATGTCTCTGAGCTAGTGAAATCTACCACACTCTTCTTGTTAAAGTTCAAGGGGTTGACCAGCAAGGAGGGGAATGAAGCTCACCGTGGCTGTATGGCCAGCACTCTTCAGTCAGCAGATTTCCTGCTCAGGCATCCCAGCAGGTGATAACCACAAGACTACAGGACAATGGAAAAATGTTCCATATTAGGAAAAGGGCAAGGATACTTGGGTTAACTATGTTTCCTTTATATTTGATCACATTTTCCATTCTTCCTTACCTAATTCCTCCAGTATCTCTCTGTGAGCCTGAACCAATTACATACTTCATTTTGTTGCCTTTCTTATATGACAGCAAAGAGTAAATATTATTTTTTGTTCCTGTAGGTTTTCTTTAGCGCAATTCATGGTAGTTATTGCATTGGAGCAGCAGCCCCTCACTTTGAAACCTTCAACATAGCTCGAGGAGCCGCCTTTAATATTTTTCAGGTTATTGATAAGGTAAGACCTCTTATTGCTTTGAATAGTAACTACCATTACTGCAAAAACAAGACCAAAAAACAGGCACACTCATTTCTCTAAAACAATAGAATGGGCAAAATCCATGTTGGCCAGTTGGTTATGGAATGAGACATTGCTTTGAACTCTTTTCTGTGAGGGGATTGTGTTTTATTGAAATTTTCATGTTTAACTTCATGCATTTCTATGGCAGAAAGAAAAGTGTTGTAAAAAGAAACCCACCTTTAAACTATTTTTAGGATCTGGAGAGTGTCATCTTAGTCCTTTGAAGATTTATAACATTCCCTTTGTTTTTCCAAGAAACCCAGTATAGATAACTTTTCAACAACTGGACATAAACCTGAATGCATAGAAGGAGCTGTGGAATTTAAAAATGTTTCTTTCAGTTATCCATCAAGACCATCTATCAAGGTAGGTTAAATTAAATTGTACAGTTGTACGGTTTTCTGAATTTATCTTCTACTTTCTATGATCTCCTCTTATAAGATTATTTCATTGCATTTTGATCAAGATTGTGGCTACTTTGCTTAGAGACTTGAGTAGATAGGTAGATAGACGGATGGATCAGTAGTGGACAAATAAAATAACTCTGGAACAACTAATTATACTTTGCAGCCTCTTCTCTATACGCGACTAACTAAACCACTTCAGCTCCCTGAAATTCCTATACTCTGGATTGGGGAACACACCAAAATGTCTTAGATTTATGGTACCACCTATTGGTGTACGTTATCCCACTCAACATAGATAACTCATTTTAACCTCCTACTTTCTAACCTGGGAGAATTAAGCACATGTTTGTTATACCTTTCCTCTCTCCCTCTCCTAGGGCTTTTACTGCACCAGCAATTGTGCCTCAACTACTTTCTCACTTTTGCACACACACACACACACACACAAAGTATATCCTATTTCCTCTGTCATTCAGCCTTTGACAAATTCTTGTGAAAACGTGCGTATCACTTCTATTGTCTTCCCCCTTTCATTTTATTGGTGTATTTACCCCCAAAAGAGTAGTTATTGTTAAAGATTGCAAAGGGCAATTACTAATAAAACACCTGTTTCATAGTATAAGGGGGACATGATTTTAAGCGAAATAGATAAAATTGTCTAACGTCATCAACCTCTAATGTTGCTTACAGAATTTACATTAAAAAAGATCTACCTATTCCTACTTTCTTATTTTTCTCTGATTAAAATTTTGATTGAATTTCTCCATATTTTTTAAAACTTTTATTACTTAGTTATCATTTTTGCAATAGTATTGCTTCACATCATTTTCCTTAACATAGAGTATTTCAAACTCTATTTTGCAACTACATTTAGATTGGCTTCCTGGGGACTTAAGCACCAGTCGTGTCACTATATTGCATGGGAACATGTTCTCTGGTTTTAAACAACTGTTTTCAAAATGAACGTTTGAAACGTAACCCTTTTTGTGAAGCTGAAAAATGAAGACTCTTCAAAAGTCCACCCACTTTAAATAAATAGAACACAGATTATTTCAAGGAATGACCAGAAACCAACCGTAGAATAAAAGTGCGGGTGGGAGAGGAGGTACTCCTGCTGGTCCCCAGTTTCTCACCTCCTTTAGAGAATTTTTCTCTGCTTGGGCCCTTTGAAGGTTTTATGTTTGGCTCCTTTAAAGGGACCATTTCTTTACAAATGGTGAGATCAAAGTGAGAGAATTCAAGAAGAGATTCCTGCATTTTGGGCTGAACACATACAGATGGAAGCAAAGATAGGTGAGAGTTTCTTGACAGAATTGCTATTGTCATTTTGGGAGGGTAATTGTTATGAGGCTTCTCTCATATTGCAGGTCCCTGGGACACTAAATGTTAGTAGCAAACCCCTGTTACTGTGAAAAATTTTGTAAAGGTTCCCCCTATGTTGAAATGGCACCATAAAATGCACCAGTAGAGAGGGAGGATTTGTAATGGTAAAATTCCATCCAGGTCTAGTTGCTAAGGAGCCTTGCTAGTTGTTTTACTTTGGCATACACTTTGCAATAATGTAAAAATATTCTAACGAAGAGCTTCCTTAAACAGCACATGGAGATACCCGGCAAGATTTCATTCAGTTGTTGCAAATAAAAAATAAAGAAAGAAAACTCACTCACCTGATAGTCATGAAATTCATATAAGGTATTTTAGTTGAAAATGCTGAACAGTTTGCAATGGCTAGTTAATATTCTCTGAGTGCTCTTAACTTAGATCTTTTCTTTACATAGAGGAATGATGAGATTCTTTTGTTATTATTTTCTAAAATTATAGGGATGATTATTATACATGTACATAAAACAAACATAACAAGATCTAAATTTGTTTTTAAGTTCCACAAAAGAATTGTTTTCTGTTTATAATTATACATTAAATTTCTGAAAATATGTTCATCATATTCTAGTTTATCCTAGTTTTATGATTTCCCCCCTCCATATATTCCAATAGATTCTGAAAGGTCTGAATCTCAAAATTAAGTCTGGAGAGACAGTAGCCTTCGTTGGCCCCAATGGCAGTGGGAAGAGTACGGCAGTCCAGCTTCTGCAGAGGTTATACGATCCCGATGACGGCTTTGTAAGTACGGCTAGCAAAACCATACGCAGCCCACATGATGGAATTTGGAAGTACCACCTATCATGGAGTGCTCACAGCTATGCCAACTCTTCATTTTTAACAGTGGAGCTGGGAGGGAAGCCATATCATTTTTCTTTCCTGTGTATCCATCCATTTCACAAATATTTAGTGCCTACTATGTGTTAGGCACTGTTCTGAGTTCTAGGAATACCTCAGTGAATCAAACAGATAAAAAAAAAAAAAAAACCTCTGTCCTCCTGAAGTTTACATTTTAATAAGTAGAGACAGACAATAAATAAAATAAGTAAATTGTATAGTATGCTAAAAGGGATTGAATGGTATAGATAAAAATTACATAGCAATTTGTAGTACCCAGAATTTTAAAGTTTGTCAAAAACATCCTCACTTTTTTTCTGTAGTTTATAAGGTTACATTTAACTTTTTCACCCTTGTAAATGGCCTAGAGAATGAGACTGTGATATGCATAAGTGCATAATTCTTAATGCTTCCATTCAAACCCTCAACTGTTATTTTTAAAAGAAAATCTACTCTTCTACAGACTGGTTTCATTTAAATTTTACTTCTTAGTCTTCATACTAGAAGTATCCAAGACCCATGTGTCTATTCTAATAATGGCTAAATAAATTACTGGGTGAGCATTCCGTGTATAATGCAGTTGCATGGAATACCCATGCCCAGACAGAACACCTGCATTGGTGAGAAATAGAGACTCTATGAGTTATAATTCCCAAACACTGGCTTCTTGTCACTGGAATATATTGGGGCAATAGGTAAGAGAAGACAAAGTTCATTTACTATTACGTAAACCAATGAAAGAAAGACACTTGGCTTTTGCAGAGGAGTGAGGTGTTGAAGAGAGGTAATGAAGGCCATTTCCTAGAAGAAAGTTAAAGGTCGCATCAATCTTAAAATAACAAAATGAAGTTTGTTATATGTGTCTACATAATAACATTTGTAGCACCTAGAATATATACCTTTGTAATCTAATTTGTGGATCTTAGGGTAAAGATATTTAGGTGGTTTGTCAAGATTTTAAGCCAATTATTTTTTGAGATTTTGTTCCTGTTAGAAAGTCTATTGACAATATACATGTTATAAATATTTTATCAAAATACAGTCAGTCTCTGATTACAGAAATACACTGCTTCTCAGCTTATATTTTGAACTAGTAAGAAAGACTCTAAAATCAGTATAGTAAAAGGCATCACAACATGGTTCATTCTTTGGATTGGCAGATCACGGTGGATGGGAATGACATCAGAGCTTTAAATGTACGACATTATCGAGAACATATTGGAGTGGTCAGCCAAGAGCCTGTTTTGTTCGGGACCACCATCAGTAACAATATTAAGTATGGACGAGATGGTGTGACTGATGAAGAGATTGAGAAAGCAGCAAAGGAAGCAAATGCTTATGATTTTATAATGGAGTTTCCTAACGTGAGTACACTCTGTAGCCTCCGCCCTTAGCTTAGAGCTACAGCACTGAAATATGGCAAGATAAGATAATGAAACAGTAACTTATGCAGAATAGCGGGAGAACGATTAATTTATGAATCGTCCTAGATGAAACATATATAGAGAAGATGGCATGGTAACAACCTCCGCAAAAAAACACATAATTGAAATGCCAATTTAAAAAGAGTCATATTTAGTTCTGCAAATGGAGAAGAAAAAAATGAATGATATGTTGAAGTGTCACAAAGAACTATCAGACAAAATCTTCAGCCTTAGCTGAGAAACACGTCTGTAAAACGTTGATTTATGAGGCCATCTTGTGGCTCAGAGTGGGAATGTCACCCACACGATGTCCAGATTGGTTCTGTGACAAAGCGGAAGGAAAACTATGGTTATTTTTTAAAGCACGTGGAGCTAATATTGGATAAGAAATGTGCAATCATATTTGGAAAGAGATATACTAATCCAAAATTCTTGATAATAGGACCCATTAGATCTTAACGGGTATTTAGAATTAACAGAGGGATAGAAAACCATTTATTTTCCTAAAGTATTAGTTCATCAGTATCACCTGAAATTGTTGTGGGGAGCACCCTGTGAAATATGAAAAGATGAGATTTGAAATTAAAATACATATAAAATTCCATCATTCTGGAAGGTCAAAATAACAAAAAATTTCATTTTAATGGACATATTTTACAAACCACACTCCGTGGAGTTGGAATAATTTTATTTTTTCTTTTGTTTTTTTCATAAAATCTTTCGTTATGCCAGTAATTACCTCCTATGCCCATTACTTAGGGCCATAATTAGGACAGTATGTAGGCCAGCAAAATCATTAAAGGCTTGAGGTGATTCTTTGCCTATAGTTAGAGCACACATGCTTCCTTGAGTTGACCTTTTGCCCTTTTCAATGACTTCCTTTCCTCAAAACACCAGTGCTCTTCATTTCCCACTTGGAATTAGGGAGCTTTCTGGTGCCTCTTAAATTATACCCAGTAAGTTACTATTTGCTTTTACTAAAAGGCCAATACTACACAAAGATGCCCCCTGCTGTAAATCCAATAGTAAATCCTGAAGATATAATCCAAAAAACAAATTAAAGGTAGTAGCTCACCATGATGAAAACTAAATTCCACAGCCATAGTTAACCATAGAAATAAGAGTAAGCATAACAATAAATAAAAGTTCCAGAAATGGTTATTTCAGGTAGATGAAAACTTGGGGAAAGCTATGCTCAAAAATGAATAGCATTGCTTCCTGTATAATAGTCACATGTTTTTAAATTAATGTATTAACATTAGCTGCCAATGGCTAGCTTTTCTCCCATAAACAACCATAAAACTGGCTAGAACATTCTACCTGGGAACACATTTCTGACGTCATCTCTGTGAATGGGAATCCAGACAGAACATGGCAGCCCCACAGAGCTGAAAGGTAGAGATCAAATTTTAGGGCAGCTCAAGCAACTGGAAAGGTGATGAGAGATCTGTAGAGGTGAGGAGCAGGGGCAGAAGTCCCTGTGGGCATCCCTGGGGAATCCTTGTCTGAGGATAAGACTACCCAAGGCTGAGCAGAGTACAGCGTTGCAAAGCTGAGAGTAGAAGAGATACTAGAACTCAAGCAGTGCTGTGGGGATGGTGAAAGTACAGCCCAGTCAGAATGGAGAGATCACATTAACACCTTTTTAACACCCCAGGCATGTAGCTAAGACAAAAGCCACACCTTAGGAGTCAGGACCACACCTTAAAGTAAGATCAACTCTAGGCCTGCCCTAACAAAGCCTGAAACCAAGCCATGAGAAATCCCCAGAGGAGACAGAATTTGGAGGTTGGGTTCTGCCAAGTTATAAGGCTCTCTACAAATTCACCCCAACAAACCATAAAATCAAGATTGCGCAAGTTCCAGATGATCAGTCCATATTTGAACTGCTTACTACAACAAAAATCAACATTTTTTTCAGATTCTGATCTCCCCAACACATCATGCACGCTATTCAGTATTTAATTTATAGAAACTAAACATGCAAAGAAACAGGAAAATATGACCTGTAGGCAAGAAACATAATCCTAAGTGTTTATTCATTAAGAAAAGAACTTCAAAATACATGAGGCAAAACATACATCTGAAAGGTGAAATAGACAAATCCACAATTTTAGTTGAAAAAGTAGGCAGGCTGTCAGTAAGAATATAGATGATTTGAACAATGCTATCAACCAACTAGACCTAACTGACATTTATAGAATGTTCTAGCCAACAATAGCAGAATATGTTCTTCTCAAGGGCCCATGGAACATTCACTGTGATAAACAATATTCTGGGTGATTAAACAAACAAAACAAAACAAAGCCTTAGCAATTCCAAAGAAGAGAAAACATCAAATACGTCCTCAGATCATAATAGAATACAACTTGAAATCGATAACAGAAATATATCTGGAAAATATACAAATATTTGAAAATTAAATAGCATACTTCTAAATAATCTATGGCTCAAAGGGGAAGTTTCAAAAAAATTAAAAACTATTGTGAACTAAAAAAAATGAAAATGCAATATATCAGTATTTGTGGAATACAGTTAAAGTACTGCTTTGAGAGAAATTTATAGAATCAAATGTTTATTTTTAGAAAAGAAAAATGATCTATAATCTGCAAACCAAGTTTCCACCTTGAGAAACTAAACAAAGAAGACAAAATTAACTCAAAATAAGCAAAAGGAAGGAAATAATAGAAATTAGGACAGAAATCAGTGAAATCTAAAACTGAAAAATATGAGAAACGATCATTGAAACTAAAAGCTGGCTTCTTGAAAAGATCAATAAAATCAGTAAAACTATAGCAAGCATGACAAAAGAGAGAAAGAGAGAGAGAGAAGGAGGAGGAAGAGGAAGAGGAGAAGGAGAAAAGAGAAAAGTTATGACTAATATCAGGGATGAAATAAAGTGCATGACTAATCATCCCAAAGACATTAGAAGGTTAATAAGGGAATATTATAAACAGTGCTATGTCCATAAATTTGACAACCTAGATAAGGGTCAATTCCTTGAAAGACACAAACTACCAAAACTCACCCAAGAAAAAAATAGATAACTTTTATGGACGTGTAACTATTTAAAAATCAGCAGGTTCTCTAAATAGTGGCAACAATTACAAATGAAATTAAAATTAAAAGGGGCATTCATAACAGCATCGAAAAACAAAATGCTTAAGAGTAAATTTAATGAAAGATGTGCAAGTCTTCTAAATAAAAACTATAAAGCATGCTGAAAAACGTGAGATCTAAATAAATAGAGTATACCTTATTTATTGATTTAGAAATTCAATATTTTTAAAGATATGCATTCTTCCCAAGTTGATCTACAAATCTGATACTTTACCAATTAAAATCCGACCAGTCTTTATTTGCATTTAGAAACTGACATGCTGATATCAAAATTTACTTGGAAATTCAAAAGACCAAGAATAGCCAAAACAATTTTGAAAAAAGAACTATCTAATTTTAAGACAGCAATTATGACTGTGGCAGTGATATAACAATGGATGTATACTTCAGTGCAACGGAACAGAGAGACCAGAAGGACTCATACATATCTGGTCAATTGACTTTTGACAAGGCCAATGGAATTCAGTGGAGGAAAGGAAAATCTTTTCAAAAAATAGTGCTGGAACAATTGGATATTCATATGGAAAACAAATGAAATATGACCTTTACCTTACACCACACACAATTAGCCATAGAACTTAGACCATCATCTTAAAGTTTAAACTTCAAAAACAGAGACACAGGCCAGGCCAGGTGCGGTGGCTCACGCCTGTAATCCTAGCACTGTGGGAGGCCGAGGCAGGCGGATCGTTTGTGCTCAGGAGATCGAGACCAGCCTGAGCAAGAGCGAGACCCCATCTCTACTAAAAACAGAAAGAAATTGGCCAAACAACTAAAAATAGAAAAAATTAGCCAGGCATGGTGGCGTGTGCCTATAGTCCCAGCTACCTGGGAGGCTGAGGCAGGAGAATCGCTTGAGCCCAGGAGGTTGAGGTTGCTGTGAGCTAGGCTGACGCCACAGCACTCTAGCCCAGGCAAGAGAATGAGACTCTGTCTTAAAAAAAAAAATAGAGAAACAAACAGCCAAAAAATATGAAAAACTGTTCAACATCACTAATCATTAAGGAAATACAAGTTAAAACCACAATGAGATATCACCTTACTCCTGTCAGAGTTGCTGCTATTAAAAAGTCAAAAAACAATAGATGTTGGCACAAATAACAGTACAAAGAGAATGCTTATACACTCTTGGTAGGAGTGTAAATCATTACAACCTCTATGGAAAACAGTATGGAGATTTCTCAAAGAACAAAAAGTAGACCTACCATTCAATCCAGCAACTCCACTACTGGGTATCTACCCAAAGGAAAAGAAGTCATTTTATCAAAAGGACACCTGCACCAGCATGTTCATTGCAGCACAATTCACAATTGCAAAGATGTGGAACCAACCTAAGTGCCCACCCACTGGTGAGTGGATAAAGAAAATATATATACACATATACATATACACACACAAACATACACACACACACACACACCCCCCATGGAATACTACTCAGCCATCAAAAAAGAATGAAATAATGTCTTTTGCTGCAAAGTGGATGGAACTGGAGGCCATTATTCTAAGCAAAATATCCCAGAAACAACAACAACAACAAAAAACAAATATGGAGAGGGGGCAGAGTGGGATAGCCAAATACAAACCCCCAGCAATCATCCCTCTGCACAAACATCAAATTCAACAACGATCCATGCAAGCAAGCACCTTCAGAAGAATCAAAAATCAGGTGTGGCCAGGCGCGGTGGCTCATGCCTATAATCCTAGCTCTCTGGGAGGCCGAGGCGGGCGGATTGTTTGAGCTCAGGAGTTCGA